GCCAGCAGCAGCAGCACCTCCAGTAACTCCAGAAGCTCCAGAGTCCACGACACCGGGAGCGCCACTCCGGAGACTGCAGCGCCTAGCGTACCACTCTCGGAGCTGCTGGGGAGAGGGCAGCTCCCGCCTAGGAGGGGAAGCACTAGCACCAGCTCCGGCACCACTCCGAGCTCCAGAAGCACCTCTCCTGAGGCTGCAGTACTGTAAGTACCACTCACGCAGCTGCTGCGAGGAGAGGCCTCCCCCAGGTGCAGCACGCTCAGGCTCAGTACTCTCAGACGTAGCACTCCCAGGCTCAGCACCCCCAGGCTCAGCACCTCCAGACTCAGCACCCGCAGGCTCCGCACCCCCAGGCTCAGCACCCCCAGACTCAGCACCCGCAGGCTCCGCACCCCCAGACCCCGCACTCCCAGGCTCAGCACCCCCAGACTCCGCAACCCCAGGCTCCGCACGCTCAGGCTCAGCACCCCTGGCAGGACGAGAGTCGACAGCTACCTCAACAGGCTCAACCGGGTCTACCTGGGACACACCTGAGGGAGCGGCACCCTGAGGGGGGAGGGGGTCTACCACAGCAGCACCTGGCGCGAGGAAGAGAGGCGGGGGGGGGAGCGGGGCAGTGCGGTAGGGGAAGAGGCGGTAGTAGGGCACGGACTCGTCAAAAGTGACGTCCTGAGAGGGCAGGACACGGCGCGAGGTGGCGTGGTAAAACTGCCAACCAGACGCGTCCGGGACAAAGCCAAGGAAGACACAGGGAACAGCGCGGGAGGAGATCTTGTCCGCGAACGTATCGCGAACAAAAGCTCGGGACCCCCAGACCCGAAAACGCGACGCATCGCCAACCTCTCCCGTCCAACGCAGTGTCGGCGAAGTCTCCGGAACGGAGACACGGGGCCAGAGGTTGAGCTGATGCGCAGCGTATCGGACCGCAAACGGCCACAGAAAGTGGGGGGCAGCCGCATGGATCAAGGAGGTACGAGCGACCTCCATGACCAAACCAATGCGGCGCTCAGCAACCCCATTCTGCTGTGGAGAGGCCGGAAGCGTGAACGACTGGCGGATGCCGTGCTCCGCACAGTAGGCTGCCAAGAGGTCAGAGGAGAACTCACCACCTCTGTCAGAGTGCAGACGCAGGACAGGAAAGTCCGAGTGGAACCGCTCACTGAGCTGGAGACGAGCAGCGCGGATCCAAGGGATCAAAACATCAGGGACCTCACCCTTGGTGCGCAAGGGGAAGACCGTGGTGTAGCGCGAGTAGTCGTCAACAACGATCAGGAAGTACCTCTCCTGACCCTGTCCACGGACGCGGGCTGGGCCCCACACGTCCATGTGGAGCGTCTGCAAGGGAGCAGTCGTCGGGGGAAACGAGGAGGAGTGAGGAGCGGCGCGCTGCCGCCCCTCGACACAGGGAAGGCAGGGAGGAGCAGGCGAGGGTGGGAGTGGAGGGAGAACCCTGGGAAGACCAGAGACAAGGTACCGGTTGTGCATGGCACGAAGGCGCTGCACTGACGGGTGACCAAGACGGTGGTGCCAGAGGACAGTCTCGTGTGCCAGAGAGCGACACGAGCAGGGGGCAGACAGCTGACCCGACGCAGACGCAGACGCAGCTACCTGTGGGGACTCAGTGGTCAGTGTGTACAGGTCCGACCCCGGCTGCCGAGTGAAGGTAGCCAGGTGGCGGCCCGTCCGAGCGCACGTGCAGTGTGTCACACGCTCGTAGGCAGGGGTAAACTGGTGGACACCCCCGTCCTGGAGCGCACTACCCGCCACCAAGTTCGTAGAGAACGAGGGGAGGTAGAGACCTGACAGAGTGCCCGACGGGACCGCAGGACAAGGGAGAACAGTAGAGGAGGTCGCAATGACCGGACCCCCAGAGGGGTCAGCGAGGGAGACTGCAACCGGCCGAGCAAGCTGCTCAAGGGCAGTGCGGTCACGAAAGAAACAGCGGGAAGCGCCTGAGTCCAGTGTGAAGGTGTGCAGTGCCTCAGTAGACGCAGTACCAGAGGGCGCAGACTCACGAGTACCTAGAGCAGCAGCCTCACCAGCACCTGGGGCAACAGACACACGAGCACCTAGTGCAGCAGCCTCACCAGTACCTAGAGCAGCAGACTGGATACCGGGGTCAGGCGGCACACACAGGTGACAGGCACTCTCAGCACTAGTAGGAAATGCATACATGGCAGTGAGGATAGCATCATAGTCAAGAGCATAGATATCTACCCTCTGCCTAAGCAGCTCCACCCAGTCGGGGAGCTCAGCCGCGTCGCCAAACTCTGTACGCCAGGCGTCGCTCAGACGGGCGAAGCAGCGGGACTCTGTGCGACCAAACGTCCCGCAAGGCTGACCAGTCCGAGCACCAGTGCGAATGACGTACGGGCAGCGAGCAGTACCCCGTGACCCTCCACGCTGAGCGTACCACTCACGAAGCTGCTGGGGCGTGAGGGACTCACTCGGACGTCGCGGGAGCTGCATCTGGCCACCGCCAGGAGCAGCAGTAGCAGTAGTAGTAGCAGCAGCGCGGCCACCCCTACAACCCCAACCAGCATACCACTCACGAAGTTGTTGGGGCGTGAGGGACTCACGCGGACGGCGCTGGAGCTGCATCTGTCCACGCCAGGAGCAGCAGTAGAAGTAGAAAGAGCAGTAGCAGCAGGAGCAGCTGTAACAGCAATACGGGCAGGGCAGTGCTCACCAGTGGCGAGAAGAGCAGGCGTACGACGGTGGTAACGGCGAGGCCGCTACCACTGCAGGGCGAGGGCTCCGCGGCAGCTGCAGGGGCGGCTGCTCCAGGGGCCAGGGGCGGCTGCAGAGGTCCAGGGGCGGCTGCTGCAGGGGCAGCTGCTGCAGGGGCGGCTGCTGCAGGGGCGGCTGCTCCAGGGGCGGCTGCTCCAGGGGCCAGGGGCAGCTGCTCCCTTTTTTTTTTTTTTTTTTTAATAATTAATTATTTATTTTAGGGTTTGGCAGAGCGCACTCGGCGCTGTAGAGGCGGCTCGCGGGCTGCAGGGTGGCTCGGGCAGCAGCGAGGGGGGGGGGGGGGGGGGGGGGGGGGCGGCGCGCGGCTCCCCAGGGCGCCGCGACGGGGCAGCGGGGGGGGGGGGGGGGGGGGCCGTGCGCGGCTCCCTAGGGCGTCGCGACGGGGCAGCGGGGGGTCGCGCGCGGCTCCCTAGGGCGTCGCGACGGGTCAGCGGGGGCCGAGCGCGGCTCCCCAGGACGTCGCGACAGGGCAGCGGGGGCCGAGCGCGGCTCCCCAGGGCGTCGCGACGGGGCAGCGGGGGCCGAGCGCGGCTCCCCAGGGCGACGCGACGGGATAGCGGGGGTCGCGCGCGGCTCCTCAGGGCAGCGCGACGGGGCAGAGGCAGCGCCCACGGGCGACACGCGGCTCGGCAGGGCAGCGCGCTGGCTGCAGGGGCGGCTCTCGGGCCTGACGGGCCTGCAGAGGCGGCTCGGGGGGGCCTGACGGGTCTGCAGAGGCGGCTCGGGGGCCTGACGGACCTGCAGGGGCGGCTCGAGGGCCGTACTAGCTTGCAGGAGGCAGCGCGAGGGCTGCAGGACGGCACGCGGGCAGACCGAAGGGCAGGTCGCACGGGGGCGCACGAGGGCGCACGTAAGGTAGGGCGCACGAGGGCGCACGAGGGCGCACGAGTATAGAAAGGCGCACGAGGGCGCACGTAAGGTAGGGCGCACGAGGGCGCTTCTAGCGGAATAGTGGGCCCGTAGGAGAAAGCGGTCCTAGGTAGCAACCTAGGCTCGTGATACCATGTTAGAATGTAGAACTGAACGAGAATGTGTGAAACTAGGCAGCAGGGTGATACAAGTAGGAAACCCTAGCAATGTTGTACCCCCTAAGGCTAAACCCACTATAGCCTACACAATATGAACATGTATAATGTTTGACATGCTGAACAAAGAGAGGGACGCGAGCAGGCAAAAGTCGGTGGAAAACGAAGCACTGAAGCACAAGAATGGCCAGCTGGAGCAATAGGTGGAGGAATTGACCCGGCGACTGGCTGCTGCCTATACGGGATCGCCAGCCCCACAGGTGGACGATACCCCGGACTCGCCCCCTTCACCTCCCACGCTATCCGACATGGACAAGGCTTTCAAAAAGGATATGATCGCGCCATGGCTGAAGGCGAGCACTGCTTGGGAGGCATGCGAGCAATGGAACGCGCGCCACGGTCTCACAGGCCTGACTGTTCGTGGCAAGATGGTCGCGGGTGGGTTCGCGAAGAAATACAAGCTCGCGGGGTCGGAGGATTCGGCAATGCAACGGCAAAAGCGCCTCATGGTTGCCGTGGCCGATTACGCGGCGAGATACGCGGGCGGGGAGGCCGCAGTGGTGGCTAAATTTGATCAGATCGCGGGGCCCATGGGGTTCACCACCTTTCGCGACGGGCTGACAGTTCGCGGCACAAAACCCATCAACGACTCATACGACAAACTCAAGGCGCTGAAAGGAGCCGTGGGAGAGAAAGTGAAGGTGGCGCTGGCGCTCGTGGCAGAAGGTTTTGAGAACGAGGAGTGGGGACGAAAGCAGTTCCCGAAGAGCTGGGACGCCTTGTTCGGCTCCAGGAAACGACCGTGTGTTGAGTAGTTTCGCGCTACCAACCTATCGTGCTGTCCATTGTGTTTGTTCGCGAACTTTACTGGAATCGATGTGCGAAAGGGAACCTGTTGATTTTAGGCTTGTATGCATGCTACATTTCGTGCGACGCATATTGCACGCTGGACCGCAACATCGTGGGTTTGGAACCCTACCCTTGATTTGTTTTGTGATATCGCATAGATTTGTTTGCAATTCAAAACCCATATGTCGTCCCTATTAGAGTCTGGAAAAACAAGTAGCATGTTACCACAAATCTAAAAAGTTTTCTAACCACCATATATGTTTACGTACTAAATTCCGAACAAGAGAGTGTCATGCACGCGAAAATCGCGTGCAGCCACAGAGGCGTAACAACCACAGCTAGAGAACACGCGAAGCCTTAACTCGCACACACAAGTCACTCGTCATCATCAGAAATCTCTTCAATGTTCGAGCCAACAGCTTTTGGGGATGGCGGGCATAGCGGGGATGGCTTCTTCGCATGCGAACGCGAACTGGGCTGGTTCCTTGCTTTGGCGCGATCATCACTGCACTCCAAAAACAGGCCGACATTCTTCAAGATCACTGCGGCCTCGGGATCGTAACACCACGTGCTCAGTACGTCGACCATCTCGTGAACGATGGGTCGCAAACTCGTGTCTTTCGCACCCACGAAAGCGGCCACCACCTGCTTCTCCACATCGTCTGCATCCTGGCTACTCTTCAGAGCCACGATAGTGTTCAGCCACGCAGCCAATATCAGCTCGACGTTCAGGTCCGGTGCTCCAGCCTTCTCTGCAGAGCGTTTCGCTTCCGCGTCAGCGAAGCCGCGATCACGGCCCTTGGAGACGAGCCACAAGAACGTGACGGTAAACGCCACGGCACCGGCAACAGCACCCTCACGAACCTTCGATTTCGCGTAATGCTCGTCCGCTTCCACCTCGAGGCCCAGCGCAACAGAGGCCGCGACCTCGTCAATCAGGTCGTCCGGTCCATCGGCTGTTTTCCTGAAGCGCGAGAACATGCTTCTCATCCTGCACTTCGCACATGCAGCGAACGGAAAAGAATCCACGACCATAATGTCGCAAGTCAATCCGGGAACTCTAGATCGAAAATCAAAAGCATGGTCTACAAATTACAGCGCGAAATAGAAGGCGAAGCACTATTTAACGCGAAACTGCGCAATTGCATAGAGAAGCATAAAATTGACACGTACCTTTTGCCCCCGGTGCAAATGCCGCGAAGAAACATTACCGCGAACACCCCCGGATGCAAAATTCGCACAACATCCAGATCAGCGGTCCACTTCTCCTCTTCCGCCTCCGATAAAACCATCTTGTCGCTCGGAACCTTCTTGTGCCACACGGTCTGAACAACCGCGGCCGTATATCGCGCGTTTGCCAGGGCGGAGAAACTGCCGAAGTACCAGCGCAAGTTCTGGTAGTGCAATTCTAGCGTCCAAGCCGTGCCTTTCGCGTTCACCCGAATCCCAACTCCGAGCTCATTTTCCTTCGCGTGTCCCTTTTCCTTCGCGGATCCCTTGTCCTTCGCGGGTCCCTTTTCCTTCGCGGGTCCCTTGTCCTTCGCAGATCCCTTTTCCTTCGCGGGTACCTTTGCCGTCCCCTTACCACCCTTAAGTTTTGCCATGAAAGCCAGAGTTGCCTTCGTGGCCTCCGTCTCGTCAGGATCTGTGCCGTCCGCACCCCCAAGAAGCGGCACGACCAGTGTCCCGCCAGTGGCTGCACCAGCAGAATGACCTCCAGCGATGCCAGCCGCGAACTGTGATGGCCCGTGCGGGACATCGCCACCCACTTTTCCGATTGCGGGATTACGGGTGTCCGGGGGGTTGGAGTTTGATTTTGCCTTTTTCGGGGGGGGTGTGGCTGCCAGAGGAGCAGGAAGGCCAGCGCTGCGTTTCCCGCATTTGTCATCTCCTACTGCTGCTTCCGCAAATTCCAAACCCGGGCGCCGCCCTTGGCCCGGATCCCGCACAACATATCCACCCCTTTCGCCCGCGATTGCCAATCCCGTCTCTCCACCACGAACGTTTGCAAACACATCCAGCCCCGTTGCCCCCGACAAAAAAAGGCCGCGTTGCAAAACCAGCGACATCAAGGCCGCAGCCGCCTCCGACAACTTCGCTATGGCACGCTCCGACGACTCGCGCTGCGCTGTCGCGGATGCACGTTCCGTCCGAACCTCGTGGACCGCATCCGCGAGATCCTTGCCAGCACGTCTCTCCATGTCCTCCAATCTCCTAAGAGCACTAGCAGACCTGTCAGTCACTCGAGACAACGCGGCACGATGCTCTCCCATCCTCGTCAGCAGTTCGCAGATTTTCTTGCGCTGCAGAAAGTTCTCGTGTCGCGCATCAGCCACGTCCTGCCTCGAATTCTCGAGCGCGGAGTCCAGGCGGACGACCTCGTGCGCGAGCGTCTGAACAGGCCACGATGACAACTCGTCCACGGTCCGCCTTTGCGCGATCGAACGCTGTGACCGGCGCACAAGCCGTGTCTGTCCTACAAATCCGCGCTTCCCAGCGGCGCGAAACTGCGTAGCTTGACGAGCAACGTCACCCGGTGCTTTTATTTTCGTGCTTCCTCCCGCAATCCTGTGCCGTTCACCACGATCAGCTCCCTTGGCCTCCTCGCCGCCCACGCCTCCACCCTCCCCCTGGCCCTCACCCTCCCCACCGCCCTCACCCTCCTCATACCCACCACCGTGGCCCTCCCCGTACCCAACCCCCTCGCCGTCCCACTCCTCTTCGTCATCCTCCTCGTATTCGCCCTCGTTTTCGCCCTCCTCCCCATACCACCCGTCGCCCTCGCCTCCGCCCTCGCCTCCGCCCTCGCCTCCGCCCTCGCCTCCGCCCTCGCCTTCGTCCTCGACCTCTTCTTCGTCCTCGCCCTCGACCTTGGCCGCGCCATTATTCTTGCCCTCCTCACCCTCGGCCTCGCCTCTGCCACCGCCCTTGTTCGCGCCCTCGCCCTTGCTCGCGCCATCGCCCTTTTTCATGCCCTCGCCCATATTCGCGCCATCGCCTTTCTTCGCGCCCTCGCCCTCGCCTCTGCTAGCTTCCACGACGGCACCCAGAAATCCCGCTCGCTTATGTGCAACCTCCGATGGCCCACCGTGGATGCGTGTACCGACTGCTTCGTTGTACCGCGTGTCAATGGCGATGTCCTGCGCATGCCTCAAAATCTTATCGTGCAAAGGCTTCAAAGCCTTTACGGATGCTGCACGGACTAGTTCACCTGGTGATTTCACAATAGCCACGAATTCCGAGAGGATGCGGGAAAATCCGTATACAGCCTGTAATCCGAAAACTGCCTTCACCTTGTCCAATGCGCTCAGGTCCTGCACGCGACCGTCGTGAACACGGGCAAAAAATTAGAATGCACACGTAGTCATTCGTGATCAGAACAATGGAGGCACGAAATTACCATGGTCTCGCGCTTCAACTTTAGCACGCGCTCACGCGCAAATACAAGGCTGGGCTCGTCGTCGGTGTCTTCGTATTTCTCCACGCGTCTCTTGAACCAACTACGTGCATAACCACAATTCCAAAGTTAGCACGCGAAATTGAACCAGACTTTGAAGTTGCCACGAAACCGCGAAACTTACTCAATGACTTTCGTGGCCTGCTCTCGCTGCGGATCCGGGCCAAAACACGGGTCGACGTGGATAATACGCGTGTTGGAGGTCTCGTCCCTATCATATTGCAGCTGATTGGGCTGCACGATAACGAGGACGCTGCAAACCGTGGTTCCGTCGTCGGGCCTGCATCACGCTCGCATAATCGGAGTCAGAAGGACGCACGAACATCGGTTGCACACAACTAGAGCGGCCAATACTTACTTCGACCACAGAGGGAAAACAAGAAGATCTTTGTTCATCATGTCCGCGATCTCCGCGTTCGGATCCATGGTCTGTTTTGTGCAGTCCGAAAGCCACAGACTGCCCTGCTCCGACGATGTGACAATTCGTGTCGACTCCTTGCGGTCGCCGCCGTGTTTCGCCAACACGAAGCTACAGGACGCACACGCTTGAACAACCATTAGCAACGCGAACAGTTCATCCGCCTCACAAATCAGCGTACTTGATCATCGAGGTGAAAATATTTGGTCGCCCGCAAATACTTACAGGCATGCGAAATCCAGTGCGGCGGGGGTGTACTCGATGCTTTCATCCAGAATAGCTTCCTTGTCCTTTTCCATCAGCACGACGGACGCACCGCCCACCTCCATGGCGACGTCGACTTTGTTGAAGCTCTCCATGTGGTCGTAAAGCGCGCGCCTCTCACGTAACATCCTGTGTCAAACGCGAAAACGCGAAATCAACAAACGCGGAAACGCCACAGAATGCAACACGAAGACGCTGCGTTAGATGTTACGCTCCTACGCGCCCTCTACAAGAACCGCGAAAACTCTCGTGAAAGGCAACAGCTCACATTCACCTGACACTAAAGATCGCCCACGCGCGATCGTAAACAAAAAAAAATAGCCGCGAAAGGTCGCTCGCTGAATCTGTGTGTGGTACCAACACCTGTGACACGAAAGCGCTGTAGGGTCGGTTTCGCGAAGTATAAGGCACTCCAATCACCTACAACAGCAACAGCTTAAGCCACGAAAATACGCGCGACAAACGGATCTGTCCCGCGAAATCAACGCAAGTACACCAAGAACCACGGAAACACCAGCGACAATTCCACCACCACCCTCCAAAACTACCCCCCGTCCTCCACCCTACCGGCCACCCCTACTCCCGAGTCCCCACATCCCCCCTTCCTTGATCCCGTCCCATTGCTCACCTGGAAAAAGGCTTGCGTGAAGGGTTAGGAGAGCTGAGAAGCTGCAGAAGAAAAGCCGAATGCGAATGCACAAATGAAAATGACGGCCACCAACGCCATATAACCGATTACTCGAGCACCCTCCCAAGCGAAACGCCGTAGGTTCGGCCCCACGCGAACCAACGGTTTCGGGCCAGAACTGTCCCCGAAGCATGCACGAGGCTCGGTTTGGTCTCGCGTCCTCGCAGCAGAGCGCATCATTAAATTTGAGCATCTGCTCTTGTCGCGTGAAGCTACGAGTTCACATGATCATGTACATTGTTTTGGTTTGTTACGCTCCATATAATGTTCATGCGTATTTTCGTCTAGGGTTTCACAAAATTCGGTAACTCGATAATCATGCGTCCGTAACAAGTTCGTCGCACGCGCGCCGGACGACCATGCATGCGATGTCGCAGAGGGCTCGGGCGACATCAACCCACCCGTGCCCGTGCTGAGTCAGCCGGGCTGGGCTTGGGCAGCTGGCCGAGTCAGGTGGTCCCCACGGAGGTGCGTCGCTCGAGTGGGTGGTGCGTCATCGGTGGTCCCAGGCGAGCAGTCGGTGCCTCGGCGTCCCGGGCAGGGGCCGAAGGGTCGGCCCTCCGAAATCACGCTAAGGGGTTGGCCGCGTGCCCCAGTGCCAGGCTGGGCCGCCTTCGCGTGCCGGGGGTCCGACACCGAAGGCATCGAGGTTCTTCGGGCCCCCAACTTCGGAAGAAGAGGGACTTCTTCGGCCCGATTAGAGTGGATGTGAGGCGGTCCTCTTGTCTTGTTTGGACTGTTTGATTTCTTATTGCATACTAGTTCTGGGCAGTTCCCTTCATTAACGGGGAATAATGGTCTTGGATGCATATGTGTTCATAGTGCAATTCATGAGCGAACATTATTTATGATAAAGTCGGGGGTTGCTATCTTTGATCTTGATTATGATGCTATCCTTGCTGCTATGTATGCTGTGTCTATTAGTGTTGAGGGTGACTGTTACCTGTGTGTTCCGCCTGACCCGGGCATTGAGGCTGCTGCTCTAGGTGCTAGTGAGTCTGCTGCTCCAGGTGCTGGTGAGGCTGCTCTCTCAGGTACCGCGTCGGCTCAGGTCTTGCACACTTTCACCCTTGACTCGGGTGCTTCCCGCTCCTTCTTTCGCGACTGCACCACGCTCTCGCCGCTCAGTCGGCCGGTGGCAGTCTCTCTGGCTGATCCCTCTGGGGGTCCGGTCCTTGCACACTCCTCCACGGTTCTGCCGTGTCCGGCGGTCCCGTCTGGCTCTCTGTCTGGCCTCCACCTCCCCTCGTTCTCCACGAACTTGGTGAGTGGAGCTGACCTTCAGGACGCGTGGGTTGACCAGTTCACTCCTGGAGGTCAGCGGGTGACCCACTGTTCGAGTACTCGGACGGGCCGGCACCTGGCCACATTCACCCGTCAGCCTGGGTCGAGCCTGTACACCCTGACTACCGTGTCTCCTCCGGTTGCTGAGTCTGGTCAGGTAGCCGCGTCGGGTCAGGTGTTTGCTGCAGCGTCCCGGTCTGGTCCTGAGTCTGCCCCCTGCTCGTGTCGCCTCCTGTCTCACCAGACTCTTCTCTGGCACCACTGCCTTGGTCACCCCTCCCTGCCTCGTCTCCGAGGCATGGCCTCCCGTGTCCTTGTCACTGGTCTTCCCCGGTCTCTCCCTCCCCTCCCCCCGGGGCCTGCCCCTACCTGCGTTCCTTGCGTCGAGGGGCGGCAGCGCGCCGCTCCTCACTCCTCCGAGTTCCCTCCGACGGAGGCTCCCCTGCAGACTCTTCACATGGACGTGTGGGGCCCCGCCCGCGTCCGTGGACAGGGTCACGAGCGCTACTTTCTGCTGGTCATTGACGACTACTCGCGTTACACCACAGTCTTCCCCTTGCGCCGCAAGGGTGAGGTCACTGAGGTGCTGATCGACTGGATCCGCGCTGCTCGTCGTCAGCTCAGCGAAAGTTTCGGCTCGGACCTTCCTGTTCTGCGTCTGCACTCCGACAGAGGTGGAGAGTTTTCCTCCAACCTTCTGCGGGCCTTCTGTCGTGCGGAGGGCATCCGCCAGACGTTCACGCTTCCGGCCTCTCCACAGCGAAATGGGATTGCTGAGCGCCGCATTGGCATGGTCATGGACGTCGCTCGTACGTCCATGATCCATGCGGCTGCTCCCCATTTTCTGTGGCCGTTCGCGGTTCAGTACGCGGCGCATCAGTTCAACCTCCAGCCCCGGGTCTCCGTGCCGGAGACCACACCTACTCTGTGGTGGACGGGGAAGGTTGGCGATGCGTCTACGTTCCGTGTCTGGGGATCTCGAGCTTTCGTCCGCGACTTGTCTGCGGACAAGCTGTCCTCCCGTGCTGTTCCCTGCGTCTTCCTTGGCTTCCCCCCTAACGCGCCTGGTTGGAAGTTTTACCACCCCACCTCGCGCCGTATTCTGTCCTCTCAGGACGTCACGTTTGACGAGTCGGTTCCTTGCTACCGTCTCTTCCCCTGCCGCACTGCCCCCCTTCCCCCCCCGCCGCTCTTCCTCGCGCCAGGTCCTCCCCCGGTAGACCCCCTCCCCCCTCAGGGTCCTGCCCCCTTTGGTGTGTCCCAGGTAGACGCAGTCGGGCCTGTCGAGGTAGCTGTTGACTCTGGTGCTGCTAGGGGTGCTGAGCCTGCGGGTGCCGGGTCTAGGGGTGCTGAGCCTGGGGGTGCGGAGCCTGCGGGTGCTGAGACTGGGGTTGCTGAGTCTGGGGGTGCTGAGACTGGGGGTGCTGAGCCTGGGGTTGCTGAGTCTGGGGGTGCGGAGCCTGCGGGTGCTGAGCCTGCGCGTGTGGAGTCTGGAGGTGCTGAGCCTGGTGGTCCTTCGGGTGCTTCGTCCCGTCGGGAGCCACTCTCTCCACAGCAGCTGCGCGAGTGGTTTGCTCGGCGCTAGAGCCGTGCTGCTGGAGCTGGTGGTGCTACTGGCGCTGGAGGTCCTGCTGCTGCTGGAGTTGCTGGGGGTTCTGGAGCCACGGGTCCCGGAGGTGCTCGTACTGGAGGTACTGGAGCTGCTGGGCCTGGTGGTGCTGCTGGAGCTGGAGCTGCTGGAGGTACTGGAGCTGGAGCTGCTGGAGCTACTGGGGCTTCTGGTGGTCCTACTGTAGCTGGAGCTACTGGAGGTGCTGGAGCTGGAGGTGCTGCTGGAGCCGGTGCTCCTGTGGGTGCTGGAGTTGGCGCTACT